TGAAAATGCTAACATCAACTATAGCGCGGTTATTTACGGCGCTATACTTTAACGGCTAAAACACCATTAAAGTATAGCGCGGTATAAAGTACGTTATATATAGAATGATCACTCTTTTTTTACACATATTTATGTTATACTTGTCCAAAAAGACCATAATTAGGTTCGGGACTCCACCCAAAAGATCTCTTTTTATTTTTTATTGTTTCGCCTAGTAGTCAATAAAGTCAGACAAAATCATGGTGAAAATGGCACGAGTTAGCCAGTTTTCGATCTGGTAATTAAAAAATAGTCAGTGTGTGCAAAGTCATTGACAAATAGCCATTATTTTGTTGAAACATGGAAAGTGTCAGCATAATGTGCCAGATTATACAGCTCCTGCTTATAAACTTACAGTATAATATGTTGAACTCTAGCACATTATGAAATTTCAGCATATTATACTGAAATCTCATATGTAAAAAATTCGAACTCCTGCATATTATGCTGGAATTTTTCCGGATTCTTAAGGGTATTTTTGTTCAGATTATATCTTTACATGAAAAAGTTGCTAAATTTTAATTACTTTTGAAGCTATGACTATTTTTCAATTATCAGCTTTAAATATGACTACTTCTGATTTTTTCCCTTTTGAGGTTTCCGGTCAAATTTCAGTGACGTAAAAAATACTAGGCAATATTTACTCATTTATCCAAGCATTAATAGGCAGAGTTACCTGATAACTGTATTACTGAGAAATAACAAATATCTAATGACATTAACTGAAATACACACAAGCTAGTTCGAACATTACTGTCGTAAAGAAATAAAAAATAAAAAGGATGTTAACTCTGAGAATTAAAGAAGGCCTACTGCGAAGGAGTAAGGTGGGAATATCTACCTTAATCTTAGGTCTCGAGTTCGTCTAAAAATATAAAATATCTTATCATATTAGGGAGTGTTTCCCCTTTTTACTGGCCTTACTTATTGTGAATTTGAATTAACCAGTAAATTTCAAATACCAAAGGATTATATAAAATTAAAAAGAAGGGCCTAACATAGTATTGTTATTCTTATTAGTCAAATTATATGAACATTTTTTTTTTGTCATCACTTCTAACAAACGAGACATCAACTAGTTTGACATTAAAGTTCCGACAATCTAAAGACACACCACCCTGCCACCCATAACCCCCGCACCGCCACCGGTTTTTACGGTGTTTTCTGGCTGAGATATTGTAGTATATATAGGCACGTTACATATGTATGTATATTTGCAAAACAATGAAGAAAAAAAATTAGAAATGTGTGGTCCACAAATAAATAAAGGCCGTTCCAGTTTATATGAATCTATTTCCTTTTTGGTCTGTTTCAAAAAGAATGACCACTTTCTAAATTTGGTAATAATTGAGCTTAAACTTACAATTCTACCCTTAATGAGAAGCTTTTATAACCGCAAAAATACTCTGAGCCCCTTTTTGTGACGACCCGGCCAGTCGTCTTAAGATTTACGCCCTGATCTCTTATTAACTGCTTTTTCCGGGTTTATTTCTGCTATTTGATTACCGAGATGTTCGATTTTGAGTTTCGGAGAGTTTTGAGACACTTAGTCCTTAAATGAGAGCTTAAGTGTTGGAAAGTTAGTTGTAGTTGGAACAGTATGAAGACGGCCTCGGAATGGAAATCTGATAGTTCTGTTAGCTCCGTTTGGTGATTTCGGTCTTAGGAGCGCGATCGGATTATGTTTTGGAGGTCCGTAGCTAATTTAGGCTTGGAATGCCAAAAGTTGAATTTTTAAAGTTTCCGGTCTGATAGTGAGATTTTGATCTGAGGGTCGGAATGGAATTCCGGAAGTTGGAGTAGCTTCGTAGTTTTGAGTGTGACGTGTGTGCAAAATTTTAGGTCATTCGGACGAGGTTTGGTAGACTTTTTGATCAAAAGTGTATTTTGAGAATTTTGGAGTTCTTAGGCTTAAATCCATGGTTAATTCGAGGTTTCGATGTTGTTTTAAGAGTTTTAAGGATTGGTACAAGTTTGGGTAGCGATTTGTGACTTGTTGGTGCCTTTGGTTGAGGTCCCGGAGGCCTCGGGATGCTTTCGGATGGTTGACAGAAAGATTTTGGAATTTAAGTTTCAGCTTCAGCTGCTGGTTCTGTCATAACCACACCTGCGGTTTGGGTTTCGCAGGTGCGGCACCGCAAAAGTGGTTAACAGACCGCAGAAGCGAAATTGAGGGAGGTCAACAGGTTCCGCAGATGTGGGAGATTTTTTGCAAAAGCGGAACCGCATCTACGAGTTGGAGACCGTAGAAGCGGTATTTGCTCATCTCTTCAGGAACCGTAGATGCGGGTAGTTCACCGCAGAAGCGGTACCGCACCTACGGAAGGGTAACCCCAGATGCGGAAATGGGTCTTTAAGTGAAAGTCGCAGATGCGACCTAGGCTCCGCAGAAGCGGGACCGCAGGACCGCAACTGCGAAAATTGCTGGGCAGAACATATAAATTTTTGCCTTCGCGAAATTTAGCCATTTTTCATCTTTTCAAAACGGGAAGAAGCTTGAGGAGCACTTTTCAAGAGGATTTTCAGAGGAGTTCATTGGGGGTAAGGTCTTTGGTCCCTAAACTCGTTATTGGAGTGATTTTTATCAATTTAAGCATGAAAAAAAATTAAGAAAAATCAGTGGTAATTGGGGGATTAGGGCTTGTATAATTGGAGACTTTTGAGTGATGATTTGAGGGACAAATTGAGGTTCAATTTTGGTACTCTTGATATGATTGAAACTCGTGAGAGTGCGAGGTTTCTGAAAATATAAATTTTACCCGATTCTGAGACGTGGGCCCGAGGGACGTTTTGGTCATTTTACATAATTTCGCGTATTAGCTTAGAACTTAATTGTAGAATCAGTTACTTGAAGTGTTATTTATATTATGCAATTAAATTGAATAGATTTGGGCCATTTGGAGTCGAGTACTCGTGGCAAGAGTGTGGTTTCGGGTTGATTTTTGAGCCGGTTCGAGGTAAGTGACTTGTCTAATCTTGTGTGAGGGATCCCCTTAAGATATGATATATTTGATAATTGAAATGCCTTGTACGTGAGGTGACGAGCGCGTACTTGAGCTAATTGTTGAAAATCCGATTTTTCCTTAAGTATTTCAATTGAGTTCTTTTTCCTGTTTTATTCTACTTGTGAATTTAGCATGTTGCTAGTTTAGAAAAGCATGTTTAGTTGACTTAATTGCCTATTTACTTAAACTGCCTTAATTGCATTACGTGAAGCATGTTAGACTAGAATTAACTATTTACTTGGTACGAAATTTAGTTTAATGGGTATTCTTGTATTGCTGCTGTGTGTTTTTACTTTGGGACTACGGGACGACATCCTGGGAGATCCCCTGTACGTATTTATGATCTGAACTGAGGTGCGGGATACCAAGAGATCCCTGACACGTATATTGAGGATACCAAGAGATCCTCGGGATACCAAGAGATCCTCGGGATACCAAGAGATCCTCGGGATACCGAGAGATCCCTAGCATATATTGAGGATACCAAGAGATCCTCGGGATACCAAGAGATCCCCAGCATATATTGAGGATACTAAGAGATCCCTGGTTATCATCCTTGTTATAAGTGGTACTTCCTTGTGGTTTGCCTTCATCTCTGTTACCGTTATTGTACTCTTATTATCCTGTGTAGATTCTTACTGTAGATTCTCAATTGTACTGATTATCTTATCCTGTCATCTTTATATTTATTTAATCTCAGTAGGGCTCTAACCTTCCTCGTCACTACTCAACTAAGGTTAGGCTTGGCACTTACTGGGTACCGTTGTGATGTACTCATGTCTCTTATGCACATGTTTTTCATGTGCAGATCCAGGTACCGCTACTCAGACCTATCATCCTTGAGGAGGCGACTGCTCTAGAGACTTCGAGGTACATCTGCCGCGTTCGCAGACCAAGAAGTCCCTTTCTATTCCTGCTTTTAGTATTTAGCCCTTCTGTATTTTTTCGTTCTTATTAGACATTCTGAAGTTAGAGCTATGTAGTATTGATCATAGCTTGTGATTCGTGGGTTTTTGGGTCTTGGATTTATGTATTGGTATTGAAAGTTAAATATGGTGTGAGCCGAGCGGCACATTTAAACACTGTTACTACTTTATTTCTGTTTTAAATTATTTTATTTCCGCAAATTTTGATTTTTCTTCCGCAGATTAGGCTTACCTAGTCGTAGAGACTAGCTGGCGTCACAATGGTTCACGGAGGGCGAACCAGGGTCGTGACACTTTTTGACTTGTTTAGCACAAATTCCAAAAGTCTTTATTTTTTCTTAAATTCTGTGCCCAATCAAACAGGTTCAGATAAATTGGAACGGAGGAAGTAATGTTTATCATGGAGTTTCACATTATTTACATTCTAAGGTCACTACAATTATATTACACTCAGTGTGATCCCACGAGCAGAGTTTGGGCATGGTGGGAGTATATAAAGGTTTTACCCCTACCTCGTTTAAGATGGAAAGAATATTTCCGATAGACCCTTGGCTTAAGTAAAGTGTTGTCATAACATGTTTAAAAAATAAAATAAAAAGTAAAAAGACTAAGATTAAAATACTAACGAAAAGAAAAGTATCGACGGAAAAAATAATAAAGATAACCATAGCTAGAGAAACAACCTTCATAAAATTATAAAGTATTTTTACATGTCATTATATTTTTTTAAATAATGATTGTACAACTATTTTTACATGTCAATAGATAGAAGCTTAACTCATATAAAAGGACTGTTCGGTGCACTAAATTTTTGACATGCACAGGGTTCGGGGAAAGGCCGGGACATAAAGTTTTATTGTATGCGATGTTACCCTACATTTCTATAATATATTGTTTTCACGACTAGAACTCATGACCTCCCGAATACTTTTACCAATTACCTCGGCTACCCTTCCCGAGGTTAAACTCATAATTTCAAGAAATCATTCTTAATTAAAAAAAGGTCAAACAGACATTTCACTTTCTTTATCTTCTCATCTTGCTTCCTTTCCAGTTTCCTACATTTTTCTCTCTGCTTTCCTTTCCTTTCCCCTGATCATAACCATCTCAATTCCTCTTTATTTCAGTGAATTCAAATAGCAAAGTCATAATCACCTTTCTTTTTTGGTTCTGATTTCAGCCTCTCTTCTTTCCTTTTCTTCTTACCTTATTTCTTCCAAATTTAGTACTACACTAAATTCTTTCGTAGTCTTCATTTTCCCATTACGTTTTCTGGGGTTCTGTTTTCTTGGTTTTTCACTGAATTTTAGTATCTCACATGTATTAAATGGACGAGAAAAACATGTTCTTGAATAATGTCAACACAATGAATGAGTTGAATTCTTTTTACAATCCCAGTTGGGAAAATGATCCTTTTGAATCTACATTAAGTTCAATTGTGTCTTCTCCTGTTACATCTAATATCATGCCTAGTAATAGTAGTGGTAACAATTTTGTGTTGAGAGAGTTAATTGGTAAACTGGGAAATATTTGTAATTCTGGTGAAATTTCACCAAACTCTTATGTTAATAGTACTAATAATTCTTGTTATACTACTCCATTGAATTCTCCTCCAAGACTCAATCTTTCCAATTTTGATCATCAAATCAATGGGAATTTGCAACTTCTTGGTGTAAATCATATGTCAAATAGTACTAATTTGGCACATTTTTCTGTTGATTCTGAGTTTGTTAATAGAAATGTTCCAAATTTGGAAAGTGGGAAACTTTCAAGAGTTTCAAGTAGTAAGTGTATTAATGTTTCTGGATCTCAATTGGGTGTTCAAGAATTCAAAGAATCTGAATTTGGAGAGTCAATGGAGAATTCTTCAGTATCTGAACAAATCCCACTTGGAAATGATGCCAATTCCAAGAAGAGGAAATCAGTTCCAAAGAAGAAAGCTAAAGAAACCAATGCCAAGAATGTCAATGTGATTAACTCTATCTTTTTCTCTAAGTTCTTGGATTTGCAATTCCTAATTTAATTTGATTTAAGTTATATGCATTGACATTGACAGTTTAAAATTTTTTTACACTATCACTGAATTTTAACTTGTGATAGCGGATTAATTATCATTTTTATCGAGTTACTGATTAATGCTTGTCGTAGAGATTTACCTGTAATTATAGGTTACGTGATTATATATAAACATTTTTCTGAACGGTTAGTGCATAGAACTTAAACTCTTTGTGATCTATAATTGGGCAGTCCGGTGCAGTAAGCTCCCGCTATGTGCGGGGTCCAGGGAAGTGCCGGACCACAAGGGTCTATCGTACACGGCCTTACCTTGCATTTCTGCAAGAGGTTTTTTCCACGGCTCAAGCCCGTAACCTCCTGGTCACATAGCAGGAACTTTACCAGTTACGCCAAAGCTCCTTCTTTGTGATACATAATTGAAAAACTGAAATAGATGTTACTTAATTCTATGCAGGTTTCAACAGAAATATTGGAATCAAGTGCCAAAAGAAGCAAGTCTGATGAAAAAAATGGAAGTGATACCGATGTTGCAGAAGCAAAAGAACAAAATAAAGACAATCAAAAGACTACAGAGCCACCAAAGGATTATATTCATGTTAGAGCCAGAAGGGGTCAGGCCACAGATGCACATAGTCTAGCTGAAAGGGTATTTTAAATTTCTTAATTTCTTAGTTTATTTTATTGTATTAAGCTGAGGATCTTTCGGAAATAGCATCTCTACCTTCACAGGGTAAGGGTAAGGACTGCGTACATGCTACCCTCCCCAGATCCCACTTGTGGGAATATACTGGGTATGTTGTTGTTTTTGTTTCAAATAACAAAAACAGCAAATCCTGTGGGGTCTGGGTAGGGTAAGATGTACGCAACCTTAACCCTATCCTGTGAAAGACCCTCGGCTTCAATTGTTTGTGTATTTCTAGTTAGAATGTTTCTTCTTCTTTTTTTAACTCATTTTTCTGATTGGACAGGTGAGAAGAGAGAAAATTGGTGAAAGAATGAAGTTTCTACAAGATCTTGTACCTGGCTGCAACAAAGTAATTGCTTATGAGAATACTTCTTTACTTGTTTTAATAATTTTAAGAGAAAAATATGCAGAATCCTAATATGGAAAGTTTATTGTTTTTTCTCTTAATAGGTGACTGGAAAAGCTGTGATGCTTGATGAGATCATTAACTATGTGCAATCCCTTCAGTGTCAAGTTGAGGTAATTTTCTTAAGTGGCCTTTGTTTTAGAGTTTTCAAAAACCGATTTCGCAAGCTCAGAATTGTTTGAATTATTTCTTGAGCCAAGAGCCTATCGGAAACAGTCTTTCTACTTTCATAAGGTTGGGATAAAGTCTGCGTACACACTACCGTCCCCAGACCCTACTTGTGAAACTATATTGGGATTGTTGTTGTTGTTGTTGTTTTTTCGACCAAAAAAATTAACTTTTTGCAAAGATTTTCAAGCTTAATTTTTCAAATCTTTCAAAAATTAGTCATAAATTGCAATACATATATTCCAAATGATGGGGAGTAAAACATTAGCATTTAGCAAGATGGCTGAATTGTATATTTGTATATTTTGATGTAGTTCCTCTCAATGAAGTTATCTAATATGAATCCAAGAATGGACTTCAACGCGGAATCTCTTCTCTCCAAGAATGTAAGTCATTCAAATTACTCATAGTATTGTTCATGAGTTTTTGACCTCTTAGGTATAATTGTTCATATATTTTGTGTCAACTTCAGATGTTTCAATCCGCTGAATCGTTACATCATAACATGCATCCATCAGAAAACTCAGCAGCATTTCCATATGAATTCCAATCTCAGCAATGTTCAAATGGCTATATGGCTAGAAATGTAAACATCATGCAATTGCCTCATATGGAAGAGTTTGTTGAACAAACTCCTCAGGTAATCAAGAATTGGGGCTAGGAACTGTAATAATGTTGTAGAATTTATTATTCCAGTTTTTCACTTAACATGGGAAATTTTAACTTTTTTAGGTTCCAACATTCTTTGAGGATGATCTCCATAGTGTTATCCAGATGGGTTTTGGCCAAATTCAGGGACAGAACCTTCCTGGTTAGTATACTCTTACGGATTTTAACTTATATATACTGACCGCATAAAAATATGTTATACTAATCGTCATAGTAGGTTAGCTACCATTTATCAGATTATCACAGGGAATAATGCTTATCATAAAAATTTACCTGTAAATATCTTATATTTTTTTAAAAAGGACAGCTCGGTGCACAAGGCATTCCATATTCACGAATGATTCAGGGAAGCAGGGCGGATTTAGGGGGCGGAAGGGGGTTCACGTGAACCCCCTTTGCCCGAAAATTACACTATACATATAAGGAAAAATCCGATTTGTACCTCTATATTTTATATTTTGAATCCCTGTAACATAGCCCAAAAGTATAGCTCAGTGGTCAAGGAGGTTCAAAATCTTTTGTAAGGTGCAGGTTCAATTCCCATTGGACACAGTCTCTTTTAATTTCTTAACTTTTTTTTTTAACCTTCTTGATGAAAATCCTGTCTCCGCCACTGCAGGGAAGGGTCGCACCTCATGGGGTGTGCTGTAAATAACCTGCGCTAATACAAGCAGTAGTGGCTGATAAAGATTTACATGTAATTAGTTAACTGATAAGTGACATAATTGTGTAAATCTAATACTTTGCTTTGTTGAATGTAGGCAATATATCCTCAGCACAAATGAAGGTTGAGCTATGAGCCTATGACCATTTGGTAAAATTGTTCATTCATTTGAGGCCTCAAATGAGAGATGTTTCTGCACATAAACAGACAATTTGCAGTTTTTTCCAAAGCAATTCTTTGATTCAAGAAGAAGGAAAAAAGAAGACAAAAAAGGAAAGAGATAGAGATCACTTCTCTCTTCCAATTCTTGATTTATTCAATGATTACTTTGGCTAATCATGATGATTATCAATTTTTTTTCCCATATGGGATTATTTTTATTAAATTGGAGAGACTATATCACACACCAAATGGGGTGTGATAAATCCAATTCACTTGTAAATTATTTTATAGTAGCTATAGTAAGAAAGTGTATTTGAGGGGTCAAATAGTTCAATGTAACCTATTGGTTTAACCTTGAGTTTCCATCAACCATAGTTCCTTCCATTCTGATATTTTTTTTAATCACTAATTTATTGAGACTTTATGATATTGAATTTTCTCTTTATTTTCTGTGGCACATATGTACATTTATTTCTATACACATAAATTATGTGTACTATATATTGAGTTCATTATCGATCATCTAAAAGGACATAGGTCCACTTAATCCAAGCAACACTTGGTTTTTCACTTTTTTTTACATCCGTTAAATCTTATATGTTGGTCTCATATTTTCGTTCTTAATCAGAGGTCTGGAATTCGAGTCTTAGATATGAAACAAATCATAGTAGAGAGGTCTCGAATTGGAGTCTTAGATATGAAACAAATCATAGTAGGGAGCTCTTTGTTTTTTAATGGGCCTTACGAGGTGCGAATTCGAGTTATTCGGGATCCAACACTGAACACCGAATGGAAAATCAAACAAATCTCATATTTTCTAATATATATTGTAGTAGAAATGATTCTGGCACAAAAGAGAGATAGAGAAAGCCATGAATAAACATTGGATCTTCTTAAATATAAAGTCAACTAGATAGGTGAAAAAAAGTTGTTAAATCACTCTAATAATGTCAAACATGTAAAAATCAAGGGGAAAAACTACTCACTCCGTTCCACAATAAGTGATCAATTTGTTTTGGGCACACCATTAAGGAAATACTAAATTCTAGATAAAAATAATTAGTGTAACTAAACTACCCTTTATTAAATGTTGTAGCATAGTTATAGTAGCACTTACTTCTTCTCTTCTCAAATGTGAGGAGTAAATGATGATACTTATATAAGGGTAATTTTGAAAAAATAAATTAAATTTTTTTTTATTATATAAATGGACAATTATTTTGGACCAAAATAAAAAGGTAAATTGGTCACTCGTGAAAAGATGCTTAATCATGGCATACCGTGATTAACTCCGGACATAACGAACAATTAATTAGGGTCCACAAATAAGAGAAATATTGATGGATTTTGCCCTATATGTTCCTTTGAAAGGTTAAAAGTTAACTCGGTTGGATGGTGGGGGTTTGAGAACCAATTGTAGATATTTATATCAATCATATATATTTATTATGGTTAAGTAATTGAATAACGTGATAATATATATTTTATCCGTCTTAATTTGTTTTAATCTTTTTGGAATACGAGAGCCATTGACTAATTTTTTGTGTGAATTTGAACATAAATTTCTGTAAGTTTTTATCTCTTAATACGATATTTTTTGTCGGATGTAAACACATGATACGAGTAAGTTTTTATCAGTCCAAGAGAACCCGGGTAACTAATTATGTTGGAACATTTTATTCTTTATGTTCTTCATATGTTTGGATCATATGCTATAATGCATTAAGCTAATGCTTTTATTACTTTAGGGGTTGGTGGGTTACTTAACATCTTCATCATGTCAGAGCAATCTGCAGTTCTTAATACTGTACTATGCGCTTTAATCATTGTACAAGTTATGGCATTATGATAATATGATATTACTTCACTTTGAATTTTTGAGCTGGNTTTTAATAAGGGGTTCAAAATATAAAAAATAAATTCAGAGAAAAGTCAAGAACATTCAAAATTTATTATATACATATAAAAATAATTTTGACTTAGATGAACCCCTTTGCTCCCTTTATTTATCATAGGCAAAATACATAAGTTACCCCCTAAACTATGCACCAAATTCCTATTACACACTTTCGGAGCACGAAAATTATCTTACACACTCAACCTTTTCAGAGTGTGTCTAATACACACCTCTTTTTTCTTGACCAGTTTAGAAAAAATATGTGTAATGTCACGCACCAATAGGATGATGATACGCGTCATTATTATTTTTTTAAAAAAAATTATATTTAAAATTACTTTTATACCCCCAATTTAAAGAATCCTCCAACATCTCCGTCTTCTTTTGCCTTCCGCTACCGTTGACACCACCGGAAAAAGCCATTGTCGTCGCTTCTTAACCTTCACGCAAATTCAGTTTTTATAACAAACCCAAGACCAAGAATGGAAGAGATGAAACTAAAATTGTAACTCCTCTGTTCCGCATTTTCTTTCTCCATTTTCAGGTCTCGTAACACAACCAAACAAAGCAAATCAAAGTCAGATTTTCGTTTTCATAAATTAAACAACTTCAGTGCGAATAAAATCTCAAATCTTTCTTTATATGACGAAATTGAGTTGGGGATTTTATAATTTCAGTCGTTCTCATGAAATACAAAAAATTATTATGTAAAGATTAAATGTTTATATGGGTTTTAATGATTGAAAATGAAGCACGAAAAGTTTGGAAGGGCAATTTAAAG